TTAGTGGTGGCTAGATAGTGGACCAATAGGGTTAGTGGTGGCTAGATAGTGGACCAATAGGATTAGTGGTGGCTAGATAGTGGACCAATAGGGTTAGTGGTGGCTAGATAGTGGACCAATAGGGTTAGTGGTGGCTAGATAGTGGACCAATAGGATTAGTGGTGACTAGATGGAGGGACAAGTCAAGTTAGTTGTACATGTAGCTTATTAATAGGACAACTGGATAAACTGTTACTGGACAATGGAACGACTGGTTTAGTGGAATAACTCGATTAGGGGTGGTTAGATAAATGGACAACCGGGTAAATGTCGGTCATTAATGGAACAACTAGATAAACGGTGGCTGCATAATTAGATAACTAGATTTGAGGTGGCTAGATACTAGATAAGGTGACCAAGTTTGATTAGTTGGGGCTAAACAAACGAGTCTCTTATGAATCCTGTTGCTGGAATAACTAAGTACCCTTATATTAGACAACTGTGAGTGACGCCAGCAATATATACTGTCATGTCCATAATCAAAGTACAAAATATCGGCTTTCCCTAAACGTTCCTGATATTTTACTTATGATCATCTTATATAAGACTAACAATAAAGTATCCCCAAAATATGTCATTATTTCAAAGGTTTTATGGTTGATAATATTCAGTGTATACTCTATCTTTAACTTTCATCATACCTTACTTTTGAAATATACAACATGCATGCAGCACACAGTCTATGTATCAATTCATCAATATCTTAACTTCCGTAATGTGTACATATGAAATGCAAATAAAATCGTTTTTACTGAAACCCGAGTTTAAAGACATCCTGAAATACAGTGAACCATGACTTTACTGACACCTGTCTTTAATGACAACCTGTAATATACTGTTAAGCTGATTATACCGACACCTGTCTTTAAGAACAGCCATTAATACTAAGTTAAACCTTACTTTACTGACACCTGATTTCAAAGACATCCTGTTATAAATTAAACCTGACTTTACTGACACCTGACTTTAAGGACATCCTAAAAAATACTGTTAATGATACTTGATATTCCCTGCTTAACGTTCAGCATTATAAATAATGACAACAACTGGTTCAACCGTTGTCAGTATTATGTGACTAGGTGGAATGCTTTGCTGGGTGCCTTCGGCATGGTATTTCAGTGAGAAAGCAATATAAAGTCGGCACCATATCTGCGCTATCACAAAGAAGTAGGTACACAAAAATACCCTGTCTCCTGTACAGGTACACACAAGGAGGCACTTCCTTAAATGACCTTAACTGTTAATGGGACGTTAAACAATATAAAACCAAACTATGAAACCTGACTTTACTGACACCTGACTTTGAGGACAGCCTGTAATATAGTGAAACCTGGCTTTACTGGCACCTGTCTTTTAGGACAGCCTGTAATATAGTGAAACCTGACTTTACTGACACCTGTCTTTTAAGACATCCTGTAATACAGTGAAACCTGACTTTACTGGCACCTGTCTTTTAGGACATCCTGTAATTCACAGTTTAACCTCACTCTAGTCTACCAACACCTGTCTTTAAGAACATTTCACAATATCTGCATGACTGTATTGTCCCAAACGACTGGTTTCTCTGTCAATAACTCGAACATTGCCGACATCGTAGGGGACTATCTTTTGCAAATATTCCTTCCAAGAGAGATTTACAAGGATATCATTTCGGAAAAATATAAAATAATATTTTGACATAGGCCTACCGGCGGGCATGCTCCATCAATGTGCCTAACCGTTCTCATCAGTATGTTGATATTCTCGTAGTGCACCGCCACTTGGCACCAGACACAGGGGTCGTGAACGATCAGCTACCTGACGCTATCGCATGTTGTTTATATTGTTATATTATATTCATATACACTGAAAGCCACAAAGGTTGGCGTTTATGATCAGAATAGCACCACCAACATCATAGTATACAACCAGTATACATACAGACATCAAACACTTACCTGCAAACGCATATATGACCACCACTATCACTGCTAAGAATAACACTACTCCGATTGTTAGAAATAGAATGTTCAACACTTTTTTTAGTATCCGGTAATCCTCTGGGTGATCCGCATTTAGAATCCGGTCACTATCCGGATTCCCTTTCATCCGGTTATCCTGTAAAAATCTATTAATCTTTTTCCATATAGTATTTTTATTTTTAGATTCCGACGCAATAGGTCTAGAACTATTCTCCGGGTCCGTTAAAATGATTTCTATCCCACGAGCATCCATGGTGACGGACGAAGCATCCATCTCCATGTTTCTCCTGTTGCCGCTTTTCCTTTGAATGTCAGACGACATTTTGCGGCCGTGCTTCCCGGCACTAGAATTAAAAGAAGTCTCTTTATTTAAATCAGCCCCGTCCACACGGTGAGATGAATTTGAAACCTGATCACGTGACCCACTTCTTTTACTGTTGTGAGCGGGATTGGCCGCATACCCGTCACTGCCTCCATGCGACTCTGGGGTCTCCAGAACAATGAATCGATTTTGATAGTAAACAGCGCTGCGGAGCGTACTCCGTGGTGGAGAGGAAAGCTGTGTGCCGCCAGCTTCTGAGCCACCGACGTTTGCTCCGACTGTCTGGCCAGACCCCTTCCTTCGTTCTATTTGCTCCGGAGCTGTATTTTTGACCGCGGTACTGATGTCCTCGTTTGACTTGACTCCGCCTCCGGTTGACCTTTTTTTCCGTGGTCTATCGGCTGTATTGGCCTGGGACCTGTGGTGGCTGCGTTCTCTCCTTTCTGTTTCCGGTGCATGGACATTGCCCGGCGTTCGTTTCTCCCCACTTCGCCTCCCTGACGACATAGAACTAGTATTGTTATAGTTGTCTGCGCGTCCTATGGCTACAATTTCATCACTATAACAACTCAGATCCCCGGACAACGATGTAATTGACTCAGTAAAGGCCCCCTCTGACCTACTGCGGGCCTCTCGTCGCCGATGTCGTTGATGTTTTGGGTTTGCACTATTTCTAGATTTAAATCGTTCAAATTCATCACTTCCGTCTTCGCTTTTGCTGTTATAATTGTAATTCAAATCATCATCATCGCCGGAACTGCGTGTATCGTCATCACTGTCCTCACTACCTCTCTGGAACGCTTTGTTGGTAAAGGATATCTGCAAAAGGAAAACAAACATTCAACAGATCTTCCCAACAATTAAACAGGGCTTCACCACAATTACATTTAGGTGTCACACGTTAGTATATATGACTCTTCCCCATGATAGCATGTAGGGGTTACACCTAAATATTCTAAATATTTACGTGTATGCCACCGCAAACATTATTTGATCGAGGAGTTTCTATGTTTCCGTTCTAATTGTGGTAGGTAGTTTTCTAACTTGTTTTACGACACCACCAGTGCGTACGCGTGTGTTTGGTCCTACCAAGATAGCGTAACACGTGTATCAGGACTGTTAAGATACACTGTACTACACTTTCGACAAAATTATACTCGTTATGAAAATCACGCCAATAAGTTTTCGGGAAACCTATATAGTTGTCATAGGAATTATCTCGTCTTGTCCGCCACACTGAGTGTTAATTGTACCCCGGAAGTCGTTCCATTATTTATACCTAGGTCGTAAACATAGCCATAACGTTTGTCAGAAAACTAGACAGTGTAGGTTTTCTTCTGGCTGTTATTACAGTAAAAAATGCATCTAGAGCAGACAAATACAGACGTAGGTATTAATGATGGTTTGTTATCGTATTCGTCGTCAGATATCATCGTCGCCAGATATCATCATCATCATCATCATCATCATCATCATCATCATCATCATCATCATCATCATCATCATCATCATCATCATCATCATCATCGTGAGATGACATTGTCATCCCAGATAGTATCATCATCGTTAGATGACATTGTCATCGTCGTCAAATATCATTGTCATCGCCGTCAGATGTCATTGTCGTCGTCAGATAGCATTGTCATCACCTTCAGATATCATTGTCATCGTCGTCAGATAACATTGTCACGTCGTCAGATAACATTGTCACGTCGTCAGATAGCATTGTCATTGTCGTCAGATATCGTTGTCATCGCCGTCAAAAATCATTGTCACGTCGTCAGATATCATTGTCATATTGTCGTCAGACTACATTGTCATCGTCGTCCGATATCAGTGTCATCGTCGTCAGATTCCATTGTCATATTGTCGTCAGATTCCAATGTCATATTGTCGTCAGATATCATTGTCATATTGTCGTCAGATAGCATTGTCATCGTCGTCACATAACATTGTCGTCGTCGTCCGGTATCAGTGTCATCGTCGTCCGATATCAGTGTCATATTGTCGTCAAATAGCATTGTCATCGTCGTCAGATAGCATTGTCATCGTCGTCAGATAACATTGTCGTCGTCGTCCGGTATCAGTGTCATTGTCGTCCGATATCAGTGTCATCCTCGTCCGATATCATTGTCATCGTCGTCAGATATCATTGTCATCGTCGTCAGATATCAGTGTCATCGTCTTCAGATAACATTGTCATCGTCGTCCGATATCATTGTCATCGTCGTCCGATATCATTGTCATAGTCGTCAGATAGCATTTTCATCGTCGTCCGATATCATTGTCATCGTCGTCAGATGTCATTGTCATCGTCGTCAGATATCATTGTCATCGTGGTCAGATGTCATTGTCATCGTCGTCAGATATCATTGTCATATTGTCGTCAGATAGCATTGTCATCGTCGTCAGATAACATTGTCGTCGTCGTCCGGTATCAGTGTCATATTATTGTGAGATAACATTGTCATCGTTGTCAGATAGCATTGCCATATTGTTGTCAGATAACATTGTCATCGTCGTCCGATAGCATTGTCATCGTCGTCCGATATCATTGTCATCGTCGTCGGATATCATTGTCATCGTCGTCAGATAACATCGCCATCGTCGTCAGATATCGTTGCCATCGTCGTCAGATATCGTTGTCATCGTCGTCAGATATAGTTGCCATCGTCGTCAGATATCGTTGCAATCGTCGTCAGATATCATTGTCATCGTCTTCAGATATCATTGTTATATTGTCGTCAGATATTATTGTCGTCTTTTTCCTCAGATATGATTGTCTTCTTTTTCGTCAGATAGCATTGTCATCATCTTAAACTATCAGTGTCATCGTTGTCGGGTATCATTTTCGTCAGATATCATCGCCATGAAAAAGCAATATCATCGTCAGATGTCATCGCCATGACAAAGCAATAATTAAGGGGTCGCGGTGGCCAAGTGGTTAAGGAGTCTGACATCTAGGATCACTAGCCCTCCACCACTGGGTTGCGGCTCGATGCCTACGTGGGGCAGTCGCCAGGTCCAAACCGAAGATCGGTGGTTTCTCTCTGAGTTTTAAATGACTATCGTTGTCAATAGGACGCAAAGCGCAATAAACAAAGCTCTCTGCATTAAAGCCACTCTCGTCTCTTAGGAGTATTACATATAGACAGTAAATTAATATCATCGTTAGATATCGTCGCCGTCAGCCTGTACCATATCTAACTACATGTATCTCAGGGTTTTACACACCGATATTGATTTCTATCTCTTTTAGATGTGAAATAATCTCATGGAATATAAAAAACACCGTCAGTGCTGTTCTCCAGTCATAAACAGCCATGTGACTAACTTTCCATCCTCCTGACAAGCCACAGGTGATCCCAAGTTTTAAAGTGATATCAAAGAACGTTTCCGGAAATGTGCAATGATTCGGTGGGGTCAGTATGTATACACTGACCGCACCGTCAGTACATCTTGTTAGATCTACTTTTATAGTTTAGTTCATCACAACACCCGACTTAACCTACCTAGAATGCATGATCATCATTATAGTCCTTTCTGTGTTAAAACGTATCACTCTAATTATAAGTCATTAATAAATTCCATTAAATCAACAGTTGGTGAACAGCGTATCTAATGGCCGTGACGTATCGTCACAGTCGTGTGCCACTCGTCGTCAACACGTATTGACTTATCGACAAGAAAACACGAAGTTCGACATCGAAGTGATCGTCGTACAAATTGTTGTGAACGCTATGTGTCTCTGTATGCTGTAACCAGTGTGAAAGCAAACCACGTAAAAACATCGATAGGTCTCACACACTGCCGACTCCCGCCATCACATGCACGCGCGAACATGATCCCATGAGACCCGAAAACTAACGACAATATCGTCCGTCCACAGTGTTGTTACACATGGAAATCGTGTTGTCTGTTTCCCTGGCGACAGTCTGCGACAAACACATTCCGTTACCAGATATCACTCCCAGCTGTTACTAAATGTCCTATAAACCTACCAGCACTCCGCCCTTTCAACATCTCAACACAAACGCGAGTTATAGATTAGCGCTCAACAACGGATTAGCTTTTCAGGCAATGCTGTTGCACTGAAACGATTTCACGGACGGAATTATATTCCGTACATTTGTTTTCCTGAGTAATATATTAGTTTCATCTGTAATTCGCCGCGTGGGATTTAGGCGGGGTGTGGGATGTCATTGCCCTCAATAATTTATAACATAACGTCGATCTGTTTTAAAATACTTTACACGAATCCTGTTACAATCGAGAATGCTCTCGTCCATGTACGACTGAATAAAACATCGCTGAACGTGTGAAAACCGCTACCAGCTGTTGTTGTCCTCACATTTTGATGCACATAACACAGGAAGTACGATACATATATGCATCCTCCAGTGACGCGACCGAGACGTGACAGTAAGTAATGACTTTCAAACTGACATCACCATGTTATCTTGTAGTGACGGACATAAAATGGGCGCAAGAAACGTAGCCTTGTATAATTGCTCGTGAACGTTTAATTGCTTTCCATGATATAAGTGACAACTAATGTTTGATCCCCCAACAGAATAGCGGATTTGCTTTTGGGACACAAAAGTGACCAAAGTAAATTTGCTGCAGCCATTGCCATATTTGGGATCTGTAATTCTTTACAATCTTTCCTAGCGCCTTTCTTGGCAAATCCCAATGCCTTATTTCGGCGGTGGTTTGCAACGTTCGCCCAAGTGAGGAGGCGATAGGTTCTGTCCACCGGCCGGGCATACCAAAGTTCTCAAAGATGGTTGTTATTATTTGTTCTCGTGTTGAATCTATGTTGTTGTAGAAATGGCAGGCATAAAAAGCGTTTTATAATTACCCGTAAACATTTTAGCTGCTATCTTGTCGTAATAAAAGTTAACTTTGACAGAAAAATGGCATCAACAATGCACGCAAATAATAGTTTTCCAATGGAACCAAAACAAAATTACTTCTGCCTGTAATTTAACATAGTAGTTGAGGCCAAGCAGGGGCGATGTCTTCCGGTAATGGTAATGGCTAGTTTAGAATACTACCACACTTAAATATACTACCGCAGACGTAGGATAATAATATATGTACCTCATTTATATTAGATTGAGTCCAATGCGTTCATACAGAGACAATACAGTTATTTACTGGGTGGACAAGAACGTCTGTCCCCAGGTACTGGAAATTACAAAGTTATCAGTGTCCAAGACGGAACGCCATTATAAACAGTATTATTGAACGTGATTGGTCTAAGGTAACAGTACCCAGATCGGATCACTTTTTGCAAAAATACTTATAAATATACAGTTGTGGGACCGCACAACGCACCAAAAATAGCGTGCGCACACCGTGCATACATCGTTCACATACCGTCCGCACAACGTGCGCACAACTGTGCGATTTAGCAATTGTTCGCCCCGTTGTGCGCTTCTCTCCACACAACTGTGCGATTTTGTATCATTTGTAGATCAAAATTACGGAATGACAAAAATACGGAAGGCTTGTATGCGATAATGTATACTGTGTATATATCTGTAATTTCTCATTACAATAATCAAGATTGTACAATTTCACAATGCGTACGCGTGTTACACAGTATTACAGCGACCGTCAGGCTGTCAAGAATGGGTTTGGCCCCAAGGTAACAGAACAGGTAAATAACAATTTGATGAGTGTCTGGAGTTTTACCTGACCAGTGCCTGACACACAGCTGATATGCAATACCGTTTGACCGTAATGAATAGTGTTTGTTATTTGCATTCGTTTGCCTATATCTCCCCTTCACCTGGATTTTCACACCCCCGGCC